AAAAAAAAACAAAAAAAATACTCTTTTCGAACTTATTTGTAACTTTTTTTTTTTTTTTTGTTTGTTTAAATATTATTATTATTATGATTATTATTATGATTATTATTATTATTAAGTTTACGACTGAGGCTGTTAATTTAATATTTTATTCAAGTTTACATTATTAATGTTAATTCAATACAAGTACTATTACTATACAGTAAATAATAATTTTTTTTTCTTTTTTTATTTTTAAAAATCCTTTAATCCGCGCCTTATTTTTTAATAAACACACCGCTTTATTATTATTATTATTTAATAAAATTAATTTTTATTAAAAATTTTTTAAATTTATGTTTAAAAAAAAAAAATAAACAAATGATGAGGATTAAAAATAAAAAAAAATTTAAAAAAGTTTATAATAAATAATTTATTTGTTAATAATAAATAATATTTATTTATATATAAAATTAATTATTAATTATTTGTATCTAATGTAATTGTTTAAAAAAAAAATGTATTAAATATTTTTAATTCAATAAGGTAAAAGGAAAATTAATTTGAGGTACATGACGTTTCGACCTGGTATTTACAAACTCGTAGGTTTTAGTCGTAGGTACCGGAATTATTGGTAAAAATAATAAAAGCGGAAGTAAGAGAGGAAGTACAAAGGGTACAATCAATACGTTTAAAATAATTAATGGTACTGATAAACCAATAAATAAAATGGGTGATAAAATAAATTTTAAAAGTTTAAATAGCGTCATGAAAAATAAAAAAGGGATTTTTAATAATAATAATAATTTAATTAATCCGAAAGTTTTTAATTTTGATATTAATAATTTTAATAAACCGAAAAAAGCAGAGATTTTTGTTAATGCCACGCTTTCTTTTTTTATATTAAAAGATGGTGGGGAAGGTGATAAATAATGATGATGAATCGTGGTCGGTGGGTATTCGGGTAGGGAAAATGATTTTATTTCGTAATTAGGTACGTTATCGTAGGGGATAGGTTTTAATGTAGGATAAAATCTTCCTGAAATATTATCATTATCATTATTATCGTAATCGTTTTCGAATAAGCTCGAATTTTGAACGCTTGTTAACAGTACAGGTTCTAAATTATCATTATGTTCCATCAATTCCTGCTGTTGCTGTTGTCGTAATTGAGTTTTAATTATATCGAACGGTGATTTCTCTTCTTTTCCATCAGGTTCGAGTAATGATATCGGCGTTAATATTTTTTCATTATCAATCGATTCCGCTTTTATTTTATTTAAATAAATAAATAATGTAAGAGAAAAACTTATTAAAATATTTTTAAACATTATTATTATTAAAATTATTTACCTGAAATCATGATGAAATATTTAAAAAAATTGTTTTACTTTTATTATTATTAAAAATAATTATTATTATTTATTAACTTACGTTTATATTTTAATAAAAAACCGTTTGGATAATAATAATAAGTTCACTTTTATTATTTTAAATATTTATTTACTTATTTTTAAAAAAGAATTATTTATGTACGTAAAAACGCGACACGAAATAGTTATTAATGGTTCTTTACGAATAATAATAATAATAATAAAAATTTTGAGTTGTAAAAACGGAAACGGAAAACAATAAACAAAGATTTTCCGTTTTATTTTTCACTCATGAAATATTACAAATTAAATTTAATTTTCCGCCATTTTTTTTTGCACATTCACTCTTGAAAATTTTTTTTTATTTAAAAAATAATTTAAAATTTAAACGATGCGTTACAAAAAGTGACAGAAAAAAAAAAATTTTTTTTTCCTTTTTTGCAGATGATTTTATTGAACTTATTATTATTATTATTATTTTGTTTGTAATTAAAATACTTTTAAACGAAAACTTACCGCTAAATAATTTTGTAATTTAAAAAATTTTTAATCGTTTTAATCCGTAATCGAGTGTTAATCCTGGATTATTACATTTATATTCATTTTCCAAACACTTTAATGTTTTTTGTCCTTTTTTAAATGCTTTCGATATGGATAACATTTTATTTTGAACGATGTTTGGTGATGTGAGATGTACGAACGTTAAAATCCTATTTAAAAAGGGAAAAATCGTTAGTAAAAAAATATTAATCAACATTAATAATAATAATAATAATAATAAAATTTTTGATTACTTAGGAAAATATGAGCCGATTATCGAATCGTTATTTGATGCTCCGATCAAACAAGAAATTTTTTCTAAACATTCGTCTTGAGATTTAGAAAACATTTTAATACTTTTTAAAACGAGGGAAAATAAATTATTATTATTATTTTCAATCATTTGTTTCGGTTCAGAAGGATTTGTTATGTCGGAAACTTCATCGTATTGTTCTTCTTCTTCTTCGGTCATCGTGCCTTCGTGATTAGATGATAATAAATATAAAAATAATGGCGTGAATAAAACGGGTAATAAAAACGTTTTTAATATGGCTCCTTTTAACATTAATATCGGTATGTTTGCTATGAATCCGATCGTGGCAATTGCTAGAAATCCTTTAATCAATCCAATCATTCCTAATTTTAATAAAATTAATTTTATAATTTTATTTAGAAAAATTTCCGTTGGATTTTTATCGACACATTTAACGACACCATCTACAAAAAATAGTAAAAAAAAAAAAAATTATGAAATTGTTTTTTTTTTTTTTTTTTTTTTGAAGGTTAAAATTCATTTCGTAATATTATTAAAAACACGTAATCGTATAAGTATTACATAAAAAAAAAAAAAAAAAACTAGTTTTAGTCTATAAAAAATCCCTTTCATTTTCATTTGAAATATTTTTGTACGGTTATTTTTTCGTATAAAAAAAAAAAAAAAAAAAAAATTTTTTTTGCAAAGTATGCTTAATTAAATGCTTGCACGTATTTAAAAAAGCCTATACGTTTAATTAAAGGCGTTTTTATAATTAATTTTTCTCACTTGAGCTAAACAACTCGCCATTTAATTTATTTTTTGTAAACAAAGTAATAATAATAATAATAATTTGTTTAGCTAACCGTAATAATTATTTAACGGATGTACTCCTTCTCCTCCTCCTACTCCTCCTCTTGGTAAATCGCGGTAATTTTCATAGCTCGCTCTACTATTTGCACGATGATGATGATAATTTCCGTTAAGTCTCCCGTTAAAACCTTCATTTTCTCCCGATACCGAATATTTAAATATAATAAATAAAAAAAAAATAAAACGAAATTTTATCATTTCGATTGTGTGATATTATGTGAATTTAAAACAATCGATTATTTTATAATATTTTCACTTGTAACTATTAAATAATAATAATAATAATAACGAAATGATGATTATAATAACGATGAACTCAAACGACAGACACAGTCTAACAATTTATTAATAATGTCTCTCGTCTTTATAATAAATAAAGTTTACTTATGTAAATTATAAAAAAAAAATAAAATTTAGTAATGTCATTTTTTTTTGTTAGTTTACATACGACTCGAGAGGATGTTATCATTTAAATAGTTTTCGAATTGTTTAAACAAAAAAAAATTTTTTATTTATTTATATTTTTTTGTCAGACTTGAAAATGTTTAATAATTATTATAATTACACAAAACTTTCATTAACGTTAACAATGAGTAAATAAATTTTTTATTTTTAAAGAGAAAGTATTAAATACCTTAAAGGGATGAAATTATTTCCGCGTTAAAACATTTTAAGGGATGATAAATAATATACATTAAGGAAAAAAGTTAAAAAGGTCAAACTTTTTTTTTATTTTCGGGGGAGGGGGCGGAGGCGGGGAGAGGCGGGGGGGTTTAGCGTTTATTTTATAATCGTTATTACATCGATGTGGGTTAAATGTTTTTTTTTTTACCTGATATTTGAGTGAAAGTCATTAAATATTCATTAAATATAATTTCCGGGAAACTTTTTTTTTTTCGTAGGGAAAAACTAATTTTGTTTTTATTTTTTTCAAAAAAAAATTTTCTTACTTTTTTCATTTTGAATTTTAGAAAAAAAAATTTTTTTTTTACGTGATAGAAATGTGTTTTTTATTATTATTATTTATTTTGCAATATTTTATTGGGTTTTAATATAAGACCTGATTAACTAGTTATGTTGTTTATTTCGTAATATTTGAATGTTGAATTTAAATTTTTAAACAAAAAAATAATTTTTAAATTAATAAATCGATAGATTTTTAGTTATTTTTATCATCCATGCCGTCCATAATTTTATTTATTTTTTTTTCTTAATAATATAAAAAAATATAAATAAATAAATTCTTTTTTTAAAGTTTGTGTGTGTGTGTGTGTGTGAATGGGGTAAACAAAATTAAATAAATAATAAAATTCAGATTTAGTTTTTTTTTTTTTATTTACTTAAAAAATTGACCCAAATTTCAAAAAAACTAAATGTTATCCACTCGTGTTCAATTTTTTTTTAACGACAAACAAAGAAAATTTTTTTTTTTCATCAAACAATTATTTTTCATGACGAAAACATTTTAGATAATTTTTTTCTTTTTCTTTTTCTTTCTTTTAAATTTTAAATCACGTACGTGAAAGCTAATAATAATAATAATAAAAAATTACTTATTAAAAATAATGCTTATAATAATAATAATAATAATAATAATAATAATAATAATAATAATAATAATAATAATAAATCAATAATACAAAATAACATTCATAAAATAAATAAATATGACAATAAAAAAAATATCACATTAAATATATACATAGTTTAATTTTTTTTTTTTTTTTACTTTAGTTTAGTTTAGTTTAATTAAATTTTCGATAAAAAAAAATCCGATGATCAGAGTGTGTGATGTGATTTATTTAATAAAATTTTATGTATTTTTTTTTTTTGTTATGTATT